GGGCAGTGGGAGGCAGCGGGGATTGCTCCCTCCCCCCCCCCACACGACAGCACCCAGTGAATCGGGGCTTTTTTTCCCCAAAGTGCTGGGAGCTGGGACGGGCAGGGCTGTGTGGGATGGGCCTGTGTGATTCGGCCAAATTGATTCAGGACAGTGATTCAAATCACAGAGTCAAATCACTGTCCCCTGAATCGGCCGAATACAAATCCAAAGCAAACACTAGCCGCTTTGCACAGACCTACTGGGCAGCCTTTTTTCTTCCTGAGCCCAGTCATTATATTTTTGAGTATGATTTCAACTTTCAAGCCCCAGGGTAAAATTAGGGCATCTGATCCTGTCCCTGAGCCCCCAGTACAGCCAAAATACAGTAAAAGCTGCGCTATCCTGCATCTTACAAGCCGGCATGCTCCGCTAACTGGCATGCCGGCTGGTAAGGTAAAGTGAAACTGGAAGTACCCACTGCGGCGCTTCCAGTTTCTCCAAGCCCCCACAGCCCAGGGAAAAGCAGCCTGCGCTGCTGAGCCTCCACGGCCTAGGGGCATAACAGGCTGCGCAGGGCCATGTGGGGCCCGCCTCCCTGTCCCACGGGGTCCGCTGGGCCCGCAGGATGGGCAGCAATGTGGCAGGAGGGGCAGAGGGACGCCCCAGATGTGGCGGGAGAACTGGCGGCCAGGGCCGGTCAATTAACCGGCATATTCTGTTATCCAGCATCCCCCATTCCCAGCGGATGCTGGATAACAGAGCTTTTACTGTAATGAATTTTAGGTGTACAAATGCTGATCAGAGCAGTAAAATACAGAACCAGGGACCCTAAAGCAGCACCCTAAATGCCAAATGCTAGTAGTTATGTCACTCTGTGAATTGGTTTCCACTACATGTCCCATTCTACAATGGGCAATTCCCAAAGTAATACCTCTCCCCAAGTCTTTGCTCTAGTTGCCATAGAGGCAACAGCAGGGAATAGCTGCTGCTTCCTTACCTCTCAAAGTAGTTATGAATCTCAATTTTCTCTGATTTCACTGTCTCTGATAAGTGCTTGCCTGCCTGACAATTAGTGAGCAATGGCAGGGGAATCTAACTTCAAGATCATTTGGTACTGAATCAAAGATGAGGCCACAGGCTGTTGTCTGGCAGTACTGGTGGGTTTGTCCTATGCTTGCCCAGTTTTTCCTCTCCTCTCTGTTCTTTATCTGTCACTTTTCTTCTCTAACTTCCATCCAAGATGTGGCCATCAAGATCCACCTCCTCCTTGTTGTCTGCTGTGTTACCCTGTCCAAGTTCCTGTTCAGACTTCTTGTTGCCCCTGCATCAAGTCCAAGTTCAGTCCTTCCAGGGAAACGGTACTGAGCTTGTCTCTTGCTGTACCCTACTGCCAATGAATCCCACCACACTAGTCTCAGTTCTGCTACACCATTCCTGACAGCTGGAATGACTTCCTTAGCCAGGCATGTGGAGGCTTTTCCTCACACCTACTTGAAGCTCTTCTTTTCTGTGAAGCCTACTAACAATCATCCACTTCAGTAGCACAGTGGCTCACCCAGTGGCAAGAAAAGAACATCACTTCTGTTACCTGAACCTCCCCCTGGCATGTCTGATTTTTGTTGCCTATTTACATTTTAGACTGGATTGTGCTAGTCGTTCCTTCTTGTGTCCTTAAAACAAATGTCTACTGCTTTTAAAAGTAAGAGAGAATTTCACACCTTTGAGTTCCACACAGGTCAGAGCATACTAAATGTAATGGCTTGTAGGAATGTCAATTATGGTCTGCTT